GATTTTCCCATTAAAAATGGCCATTTTCAATAGCTATGTTAGTTTACCAGAGGGTAAGAAGTCTGACGTTTATGAAGTTTCGATCCTTTCGATCCTGACTTGACTTGACTTTGACTTGACTTTGGCTTGACTTTGACTTGACTTTGAAGCTGGACTTTTGAAACCCTATTCTGCTGATTTCTGCAAGTTTCCGATTTTCCACCTCTCTTTGGGGATGTGGCTCAATTTCAATCTCCGAAGAATCTGAGGTTCAAGTGGCCCGATGGAAGAAAATACGAGGGCGAATGGTGCGCGGCGAGGGAATGCAATGGTGATCTGATCAGAGGATGTGGATTTTTGACGATTGGGTTATTTGGGATTTCATGGATCTGGTTATACCCTCTGGTAATTTAACATAGCTATTGAAAATGGCCATTTATAGTGAGTTTTCCCATTAAAAATGGTGATTTTCCATTAGCTATGTTAGTTTACCAGAGGGTAGTTATTTGAATGGCCCGCAAAATAATTCTTTCAAGCCAGATCATGGGACACCCACGTGTTCAACGTGCTGATTCGACTCTTGGGGAAATTTTGGTAAAGGGTTTAACCGTTTAACCCATCGCCATATCACGAAATATCTTGAACTCGAAATGGATGATTTACCATGGAAAATCCAACAAAAATGGATGATTTAGTGGTACCCCTATGTTGGGAAACCTCCATATTTTGACACATTCCGTTATCCCCAAGCGGGCTTCATCCGAGGGTTGGCTCAACCACCAGCTATTGGTCCTGCCAGGAAAGAAGGGAAGCAGCACGGCACTGGCACTTATGTGGCTCGGCTACGCAGAAATGATGGGGGCCTCGCAGGGGTCAGCGTTTTTGACATGAGTCTCAAGAGGGACAAGAGGAATATTAACAAGAGAGATGGTCTTTTAGCTACAAAGACTGGTGTTTTTCAGAAACAGTGAAATTTCGAATCAGTCAAGAACAACATGGCTACAACCAGCAACTCGTGGATCAATTTCAGTAGATCGACATATCACCAGGTCACCATGCTTTGGGATTCCCACACCGAAAGGGCCCTGGCAGGTCACAACTGCTGCAGATATTTGGGTCCTGCGTCCCAAACGTTGAACTATGACTTCTTGAATTTCTTGGTAAAAGCTGCAGGGATGACGAAACTCAGTTGGCCAGATTTGCCTCAACCTTAGGTCACAGCCGGCGGCGAAAAGCGTAAAGGCCTGGTATGTTGCGAACAATCCGTGCAGATTCGCGTCGTGTCGCTCGGTCGTGAACAAATTCCCAGCCCCCTGTACTGTATCATGAAGCCCAATAAACACAGATCTAATTGCATTCATATCCACCAGACACACAGGTAATCTCATATTATATAATATATGATATATACATACACATGATATATACATATTTATATACATACATATATACATTCATTCAAGTAGATACATATTTCCATGGATGTTCTTCAAACAACTGAGATCTTCAAATATCACCGACGGCACGCCACATCCGTCCGGGGGCCCACCATGTCTCTGCAGGTGAGTGGACGGACGGCCGCCGCGTGCGATGGCTGGATGAAGGGGAGAAGAACTAGTAGATCCAGCGTGGGATGGCGTCCGTGGCTCCGAGATCTTGGGATGCGGTCATCTTCGGGATGGGATATGATGAAAGATGGGGATATAACATTGATATAGCCCATGTCATCAACAATTACTGGGGACAAAAAAATGTAAGCGCCAATAAATTGGTATATATATATACACATATGGGTAATTCAACTGATTGATAGCTTGATTGGCTTAATCAGTAGCTTTTCCAAGCATAAATGGGGACGTATTGACTTTCACCTGGGCAGCCAAGAGTAGTCATGCAGAGGATCCCTTGAGGGTAAGAGGTGAGCAATCGAACGCCTTGTGAAATTCGGCCCGGACACGAGCCCTTCGCTGTGGGTCAAAAGCAGGGACGGTCTGTACCCTCTGGTAATTTAACATAGCTATTGAAAATGGCCCATTTATAGTGGATTTACCCATTGAAAATGGTGATTTTCCATAGTTATGTTAGTTTACCAGAGGGTACCCTTTGGCGCGGTAAACGTCGCGCGGTGCTGACACCCTGTGGGAACTCAGCGATGTGTTTCACCTGCGGAACACGAGCGGTATCCGATCGGACCTGTGGCAAGCAGCGTTTGGAACCATGGCTTTTTTAGCCAAAGAATGAAGCGGAGATTTTTTCGTTTGAGGCTATAGTTTTCCCCAACATGTGTTTAACTGTTTTTAACAAAAACGCATAAGAATGCCAGGTGTAGACTTTCATCATCTTTCATCATCTTTCATCATCTTCAGGCACGCTTTCATCCAAGAATCTCTCCAGCTACCTCTAGGTGATCTGGCCACTCATCGAATCCACAGCCAGCACAGCCAGCGTCAACTCGAATGCCGTCTCGACAGGACGAGTGTGAGCTCCTGCCACGTCGACCTGGATGCCACCAGAGAGTTTCAATGCTTCAAGTGGCGAGCCACACAAGTGGTCACTCAATTATATAACGTGAGTATAAGTATGTATATATATCATTATATATTATTAATAATAGTAATAATAATATTAAATAAATAAATCAATATACATATATATATATCATTATAAGATGACTAAAAACACATTCAACTCGGGTGGTGTTTCGTTTGGAGCCGATCCCGGTAGATTGCTATCATGCTTACATCTGGATTTTTCGTGCTGTTCCAGGTGGCAATACTCCGATGGAAGGGATTTTAATCCCAGGTCCCACAACGGGTGCCCATCAACTCTGGGTGAAGCTGATCGAAATATCTGGTAGACTACCATGCACTTGTGGTTGACTGGTTGACGCTGGAAAAATCCCCCAGTTTTTTTTTCTAAAAAAAATCACGAGCCGCAAGCAGTTTTGGACAGATAGCATCCATCAAGGTGGCATGGCGGCTTGGCGGCAGCGGTGACCAGCAAATGCTGAGACCATCCGCGACCGGCTGCCGGTGAGCGCTGCGATGGTTTTTGAGAGGGCCAAGTACTAGCGGTTTTTGATCACAAATCTACGGATTGGATTCTAGAAGTGAGAAAGACTGTGGCTGCATTTCTAATTTACCCTCTGGTAAACGTTTACATAACTATGGAAAATCAAAATCACCATGCTATCAATGGGTAAATCCACTATAAATGGGCCATTTTCACTAGCTATGTTAAATTACCAGAGGGTATCACATTATATCACACATGAATGCAAATGAAGAGATGCTCCTTTGTGCCAGTTCAGTACTCGTACGTGATTGTTCCGTAAGCAATTAATTGCGAGACATTATAGGTTTCTGGATCTTCGTTCCCACTTTTTTTCCATGAAAAATCATAGGTCCATAGGCTCATCCCCAGGGTTTCCGATTCATCCCATCCACATCACCAAGGTTGTCCACCGGTGTTTCGGTTGTCCCAGTCGTCACTGGGTTAAAGCCAAAATCTGCAGGAAACCAAGGTTTCACCAGCCAACTATGAAGAATTTCCCTTGTACCAGCCGTCTGAACTGTTTGTTTCGGCCGAGTTCAGAAGCCTCACCGGCGATCAACCGGGAACGCCTCGTTTGCAGGCGAAAAGGTTTTCCATGCCGCTGGGTGGTTTGGTCGATTCAACCGGTCATGTTCCAGCCATAAATGGAGGGAATGTCATCTCTTCAGTATCGTTTTGGCAGGGTGTTGTTAGCTGTGGTCTTGAGATAGAGCTTTGGCCCCTTCTGTCTTCTTGTGTCTTATTCACGTCGCTTCGCGACGGCAACCGCCCGCACCGCATCGTTGGGCAGCCGCTCGTAACTGCCAATGATGTCGGCCATTGAGACCAAAAACATCCGAAAGTATTGATTGTCGGAAAAAAAAACGCGAAGAATTTGATAGCCATGTATAGCGGACCAACGCAGTTCAAAAAATAACGAAAAACATGAAAAAACGGCGAAATTGCTGTTATTTACAGTGTTTTTGCGCGGTGAGAAGCAGAAACCACTGCAAATACCATGGTTTTTGAGGGTCAGGTGGCCAAAAACACTGTAATTTACAGTGTTTTTTTAACCAACGTCAAAAAACACTGGTATTTACGATGTTTTCATTCACACCGTAACATAAAACAGCGTAATTTACGAGGTTTTTGGAAGTTTTGAAGCTAGCCGTCAAGCATGCAGAAAACAGAAAAACACTGTAAAAACCAGTGTTTCTGCTATCACAAAACGACGAAAATCAGTCCGAAAACGGGTCCAAAAACTCAAAAATCCGCCTCCGGGCCAGGCCACCTGCGGAACCGCAAAAAAAGATGTTGCAAACCAAAAAATTGAGGTCAAAAAGTTGAAAAACACGGGGTTTTTTCACTTTTCGCTTGCCGATTTTGGACGGGCGCGTTCACGAACAGGTGTCTTCCGTACTGTTTTTTACAGTGTTTTTTGAAGGCGAGCGTCACGACCTATCAAAAACAGGAGGTTTTGGCCGAAAAATGCCCCCCCCCCCAGGTAAACCTGTAACCTTTAACGAGTGCCATCCGGAAGAAGACGCCCCAGCACCTTCGGTGCGGGCGGATTTCCTGATTTCGTTGGTGTTGTTTTGGTTGATCACGTTCCCTTGGGCTGGAAAGCCACTGGGCGCTTTGGACCCTTTAGATCTATCTAAAGGTCGGAACTCATTAACTCATTCGTAAATCATGGTCAAAGCAGCTGCATATATAAACCATCCTGAATTCACACCCCCATTCGCAGCGTCTCAGTTCAACTGCCAGCACAAGGATCCAAACGCCTTCCCCCGTGGCTGTTTCCGCTTGGGATCAGGCTGAAATGACCCAGACCCAGGAAGTATATTTTGAAAGGGCCAAAGGCAGCCAGATTTGGACTATTTGTGGATTGCCAGGGAGTGGACTTTGAAACTGCCAGCGAGAGAAACAGTAGTGCTAATAATGCCAATGGCTTAGATGTCCAACTTCGATTTTCGTTCAACTCGAACCAAAAACTGTCAGCAGCTTGAGATTTCTTCCATCGCAATGAGCCGTGCGGGGGCCCAGCAGATTGGGACAGGATACCATGCCAAAACATGGCAACGTACAGTTCCCAGGTATGTAATAACATGCCAATGCGCATATAAATTTTATCACTGATCGAACAAACGATTGTTTTTGCCAAATGCGATTCCTTTGATGCACATCCAAGTAAGGGGTGGTCTTACAACATTCAAGGCTGGAAGTATAACCGGCAACAGTCAAGAATATCAAAAATGGAATTAAAGGACCGGATAACCCCACATGTCAACTTCTTCCAACAAGCAGCAAAAGAAATGTAAAGATGGCATGGGGAAAGCAGGAAAGGGAAAAGAGATGGTGAAGGATTGGTGTGGAGCAAGTTGTGTGTGGAAGAGCAAGTACGAGTAAGTTGTGTATGGACAAGTTGTGTTGTATGCATGTATGTATGCATGTATGTATGCATGTATGTATGTATGTATGGATGGATGGATGGATAGATGGATGGATGGATGGATGGATGTATGGATGCATATATATATGGTGTCAAATGGCTACAGATGACGCAGGTACGACAATCTCATCCAACACAAACATGTCACAGTGTACGCAAAAGTGCAAGTGATGCAGGAGAGGTACATGCCCAGTCGATGTCACCAAGTACCACGCATGCCACGTGAAATGAAGGTGGATGTCTCCAAGTGCCACGCCTGCCACGCCAACAGCCGCGGCGTCCCCGCGTTCCACGCCGACCCAAGCGCGCCACCGGAGCCAGTGTCATTTTTCGGAAGCACAGATACATGAGCACCGTCAGCTGCAACAGCACTAGCAAAGATGACGACATCGCAGCGTGCTGGACCTGCCAAGCGACTGCGGCAAGTGTAGTAATGTAGCTCCCACTGAAAGCAGGCAACACAAGAACAGCGGCAACCGATTGCACAGAAACTGTTTTGATCTGTCATGAACGTGTCAGGCGCTAGATCTTCGCACGGCGCGTAAATCCATCCAAGCCAAAGCTAGCCCCCTTGGCTATAAACGGTATATACTGCACACGCAATCCGGATCAAGTCCAAGACAAGGTAACTCGTCAAGTGCCACGCCTGCCACACAAAGTGAAGGTGGATGTCACGCAGTGCCACGCCTGCCACGCAAAGTAACAATCGATGTCGTCAAGTGCCACGCCTGCCACACAAAGTGAAGGTGGATGTCACAAAGTGCCACGGCTGCCACGCAAAACGCCGCGGCGTCACGGCGCCGCCTGCTGACCAAGCGCGCCACCAGGGCCAACCCAGTGCCATAAGTGCCACGCCTGCCACGCAAAGTAACAATCGATGTCGTCAAGTGCCACGCCTGCCACACAAAGTGAAGGTGGATGTCACAAAGTGCCACGCCTGCCACGCAAAACGCCGCGGCGTCACGGCGCCGCCTGCTGACCAAGCGCGCCACCAAAGCCGGCCCAGTGCCATGAGTGCCACGCCTGCCACGCAAAGTATGCTGACCAAGCGCGCCACCAGGGCCAACCCAGTGCCATAAGTGCCACGCCTGCCACGCAAAGTAACAATCGATGTCGTCAAGTGCCACGCCTGCCACACAAAGTGAAGGTGGATGTCACAAAGTGCCACGCCTGCCACGCAAAACGCCGCGGCGTCACGGCGCCGCCTGCTGACCAAGCGCGCCACCAAAGCCGGCCCAGTGCCATAAGTGCCACGCCTGCCACGCAAAGTAACAATCGATGTCGTCAAGTGCCACGCCTGCCACACAAAGTGAAGGTGGATGTCACAAAGTGCCACGCCTGCCACGCAAAACGCCGCGGCGTCACGGCGCCGCCTGCTGACCAAGCGCGCCACCAGGGCCAACCCAGTGCCATAAGTGCCACGCCTGCCACGCAAAGTAACAATCGATGTCGTCAAGTGCCACACCTGCCACACAAAGCGAAGGTGGATGTCACAAAGTGCCACACCTGCCACGCAAAACGCCACGGCGTCACGGCCCCGCCTGCTGACCAAGCGCGCCACCAGGGCCAACCCAGTGCCATAAGTGCCACGCCTGCCACGCAAAGTAACAATCGATGTCGTCAAGTGCCACGCCTGCCACACAACGCGAAGGTGGATGTCACAAAGTGCCACGCCTGCCACGCAAAACGCCGCGGCGTCACGGCCCCGCCTGCTGACCAAGCGCGCCACCAGGGCCAACCCAGTGCCATTGCCACGCCTGCCACGCAAAGTAACAATCGATGTCGTCAAGTGCCACGCCTGCCACACAACGCGAAGGTGGATGTCACAAAGTGCCACGCCTGCCACGCAAAACGCCGCGGCGTCACGGCCCCGCCTGCTGACCAAGCGCGCCACCAGAGCCAACCCAGTGCCATTGCCACGCCTGCCACGCAAAGTAACAATCCATTTCGTCAAGTGCCACGCCTGCCACACAAAGTGAAGGTGGATGTCACAAAGTGCCACGCTTGCCACAAAGTGAAGGTGGATAGCGCAAAGTGCCTTGCCTGCCACGCAAAGTGAAGGACAAGTTGTGTGTGGACAAGTTGTGTGTGGACAAGTTGACAAGTTGTTGTGATGTTGTGATGTGTGAGCAAGTGGTGTGATGACAAGTTGTGTGATGACAAGTGGTGTGATGACAAGTGGTGGGATTACAAGTGGTGTGATGACAAGTTGTGTGATGACAAGTGGTGTGTGGACAAGTTTTGTGTGGACAAGTTGTGTGTGAGCAAGTGGTGTGTGATGACAAGAGGACGAGAGAACGACGGGAGGCCGACGGCGGACGGCGGACGGCGGGATACAGAACCAAAAACAAGAACCCCACACAAAGATGTGGGGAATCATAGGGCTTTGCTCGTCATGGCCCTTGGACAGACAGTTGCCAATCATTCCAGTAAGGGGTTTTGATTGCCGAGTTGGTCTTGGGAGTTTGTTCCACTGCTCAAACAGAGAAGCAATTTGGCTCAATTGGAGAAACTGGTCCGGACGGACAATGGAGTTTGTCGAGATATGCTTCAAGTTACTGTAGCTTTGCCAAGCGGTTGCTGTGAGAAGTTTTCGATTCCGCAGTCCTCCGAAGTAGGGGACTTGAGGGTTCTGGCACAGAAATCCTTGCAACGTGGCTTCTTGAGGCTTGTGGCTGCAGACCATCGCGCGTTGGATCCTGCAGTGTCTCTGCAAGCTGCAGGACTTGAGGACGGAGACCATTTGACGGCTGTTGTCCTGGAGGCAAAGGTGACGGCAACAGCATCAGCTTTTGCCTTGTTTTGCTCTGGAGGTGACCGAGTTGTCACATGGGGCAAAAAAGAGTCTGGTGGTGACAGCTCTGAAGTCCAAGATCAGCTCAAAGGTGTGCAGCAGGTTCAAGCAACTGAGCAGGCATTTGCTGCGATGCTGACTGATGGGTCAGTCGTGACATGGGGCTCTCCAGGCCATGGTGGTGACAGCTCTAAAGTCCAAGGTCAGCTGAAGGGCGTCCAGCAGCTTCAAGCAACGAGCTATGCATTTGCTGCGATCCTGGCTGATGGGTCAGTCGTGACATGGGGCAGTCCAGGCGCTGGTGGTGACAGCTCCAAAGTCCAAGGTCAGCTGAAGGCTGTCCAGCAAGTTCAAGCAACTTGGGGTGCATTTGCTGCGATCCTGGCTGATGGGTCAGTCGTGACTTGGGGCGAACCAGACTCTGGTGGTGACAGCTCTGAAGTCCAAGATCAGCTCAAAGGTGTGCAGCAGGTTCAAGCAACTGAGAAGGCATTTGCTGCGATGCTGACTGATGGGTCAGTCGTGACATGGGGCTCTCCAGGCCATGGTGGTGACAGCTCTAAAGTCCAAGGTCAGCTGAAGGGCGTCCAGCAGCTTCAAGCAACGAGCTATGCATTTGCTGCGATCCTGGCTGATGGGTCAATCGTGACATGGGGCTCTCCAGGCCATGGTGGTGACAGCTCCAAAGTCCAAGATCAGCTCAAAGGTGTTGAGCAGGTTCAAGCAAGTGATGGGGCATTTGCTGCGATCCTGGCAGATGGGTCAGTCGTGGCTTGGGGCGACCCAGACCAAGGTGGTGACAGCTCTGAAGTCCAAGATCAGCTCAAAGGTGTGCAGCAGGTTCAAGCAACTGATCGGGCATTTGCTGCGATCCTGGCAGATGGGTCAGTCGTGACTTGGGGCGACCCAGACCAAGGTGGTGACAGCTCTGAAGTCCAAGATCAGCTCAAAGGTGTCCAGCAGGTTGCAACAGGCCATGCATTTGCTGCGATCCTGGCTGATGGGTCAGTCGTGACTTGGGGCGTGCCACAATGTGGTGGTGACAGCTCTGAAGTCCAAGATCAGCTCAAAGGTGTCCAGCAGGTTCAAGCAACTTGGGGTGCATTTGCTGCGATCCTGGCTGATGGGTCAGTCGTGACTTGGGGCCATCCACGCCATGGTGGTTGCAGCTCAGTGGTCGCAGCCCAGTTTGCATATGTGTAACCGTGTTGGCGCAAAGCCGCCCTTCACTCCAGAATCCTACAGTTGTTTGTTGATTGGCTTTATTTCGGACGTGTGATTGAAAAGGCCCAGGACTGTCCTGCAGCAAATGCAGTGTTGCATCCAAGACACCATCTGGAGATATCTCGCCATGCAGTGGTTGATCCACGGGAAGGACTTTTAGGAGAATTATGCAACACCATGGTGTTTACCCAGAAATATGTATATAAAACTTATAACTTATAAAACTACATATGTTTCTATAGGTTTCAACCTTGGAAGAACATAGTGCCGGGGCAAGAAGCATACTATACCCCCAGTTTCATCCGAGATATGCAACCCCAAGCACCACCCGAAATTCGGGAAGCCACACCCCGCCCCTTGTCCACCGAGGTGCACGCATTTTGAAAGGTGCCGGTGCTTTAGGCCAGGGTGGCGCCGGGTTGTGAGGCCTCGTCAACCGGGGAATTGTTGAAAGTCTGATTCGAAGGAAATATGATAAATACGCAAATGGTGAAATTCGGATAAACATCGGGTGCATCTGATTATTCATTGATAAAAAGAAACACACTAATGTACACAGTATGCGTTATTGCTCGGTCTACCCAAGTAACTGACCGGTCTACCGGTCAGTATGCGGGATCTGACCTGCGCTGATCCCAGAGGTCGTAGATTTTCCAGCCATGTTTGATGACCGGAGTGTAGGGCACCCCGTTAAGACCTCATATTACCGGCCGGCTGGTGGTGTCAATTCATTTTCACTATCCTCTCTCGAGTTAGTCCAATCCCCTTGATCTTCATTCCGCTCAAATGGGAAAATGAATAGAGCCAGTACATTCCGCTCGCTTTCGTTTGGGGGTACCCTCTTGCAAACTAACAGTTTGCGAACTGGAAAATCACCATCTTTAATAGGTAAATCAACTGTAAATGGGCCATTTTCAATAGCTATGTTAGTTTACTAGAGGGTATTTGATGACCAATAGCGCTCTGGGCTGAGTTCAACACGCTTGACTTGCTGAGGCATGTCATCTGTGTACCAATGAACCCTTGGATCTCGGTGGCTGAACTAGATGAAATGATGATCAGCTGGTACAATGGAGTTCACCAAACCAAAGTTATCAAAGGAAGTTGGGAAGCAATACTTCCGTGTTACGGACAAATAGAATTCTAAGACTTGAAATGATGAAGGGTGGTGCGCGATTGAGACTTGACCTTGAAGGGTGGTGCGCGATTGAGACTTGACCTTGATGAAGGGTGGTGTGAGACTTTACATGACATAACAATACATCACATTGAGACTTGACCTTGATGAAGGGTGGTGTGAGACTTTACATGACAGTGGTGACGAAGGGAGGTGGGGACGATGGAAAGTGTTGAGGAAGGGAAGTGGTGACGAAGGGAAGTGGTTACGATGGGAAGTGGCGAGGAAGGGAAGTGATCACGAAGGGAAGTGGTGACCATGGGAAGTGGTGACGATGGGCTTTGTGTTGGGGAGGAAGCCGGAGCACGAAACCGTGCGTTTTTCCGTGTAAAGTGGCTGCAGCCGGCGATGAAAGCTACCCCGTCTGTGCGGCGGTTGCGGCTGGGGTCGTTTGGTTCCTTCTATGTGTTTTGCAACAATGCTTGTTCCTGTGTGCGTAGTTCTATGCGTTTCTTGACGCTGTGGTGCCAGATCGCATTGGAATGGCTGCATGATGTTGCATGGGCTTTGTGTGGGGGAGGAAGCCGGAGCACGAAACCTTGCGTTTTTCCGTGTAAAGTGGCTGCAGCCGGCGATGAAAGCTACCTCGTCTGTGCGGCGGTTGCGGCTGGGGTCGTTTGGTTCCTTCATGTTCCTTCTATGTGTTTTGCAACAATGCTTGTTCCTGTGTGCGTAGTTCTTTGCGTTTCTTGACGCTGTGGTGCCAGATCGCATTCGAATGGCTGCATGAATGTTGCATGGGCTATGTTGTGGGGAGGAAGCCGGAGCACGAAACCTTGCGTTTTTCCGTGTAAAGTGGCTGCAGCCGGCGATGAAAGCTACCTCGTGTGTGCGGCGGTTGCGGCTGGGGTCGTTTGGTTCCTTCTATGTGTTTTGCAACAATGCTTGTTCCTGTGTGCGTAGTTCTATGCGTTTCTTGACGCTGTGGTGCCAGATCGCATTGGAATGGCTGCATGATGTTGCATGGGCTTTGTGTTGGGGAGGAAGCCGGAGCACGAAACCTTGCGTTTTTCCGTGTAAAGTGGCTGCAGCCGGCGATGAAAGCTACCTCGTCTGTGCGGCGGTTGCGGCTGGGGTCGTTTGGTTCCTTCTATGTGTTTTGCAACAATGCTTGTTCCTGTGTGCGTAGTTCTATGATGTTCTATGCGTTTCTTGAAGCTGTGGTGCCAGATCGCATTGGAATGGCTGCATGAATGTTGCATGGGCTATGTGTTTTGGGGAGGAAGCCGGAGCACGAAACCTTGTGTTTTTCCGTGTAAAGTGGCTGCAGCCGGCGAGAAAGCTACTCTCTGTTGAGGCGTTTGCGGCTGGGTCGTTTGTCCTTTCATGTGTTTTGCCAACGATGATTCTTGAGTCATTCTCCGCTTTCCTCACCATGGGACCACACGCAATAGTGTTTAGTTTGTAAACTTCCATTAAAGTAAGTGCGACGCCTGTTCTGTGTGCGTAGTTCTATGAGTTTTGCGTTTCTTGAAGCTGTGGTTGCCAGATCGCATTGATTTGGCATGAATGTTGCATGGGCTTTGTGTGGGGGAGGAAGCCGGAGCACGAAACCTTGCGTTTTTCCGTGTAAAGTGGCTGCAGCCGGCGATGAAAGCTACCTCGTCTGTGCGGCGGTTGCGGCTGGGGTCGTTTGGTTCCTTCTATGTGTTTTGCAACAATGCTTGTTCTTGTGTGCGTAGTTCTATGCGTTTCTTGAAGCTGTGGTGCCAGATCGCATTGGAATGGCTGCATGATGTTGTATGGGCTTTGTGTTGAGGAGGAAGCCGGAGAACGAAACCGTGTGTTTTTCCGTGTAAAGTGGCTGCAGCCGGCGATGAAAGCTACTTCGTCTGTGCGACGGTTGCGGCTGGGGTCGTTTGGTTCCTTCTATGTGTTTTGCAACAATGCTTGTTGCTGTGTGCGTAGTTCTATGCGTTTCTTGAAGCTGTGGTGCCAGATCGCATTGGAATGGCTGCATGATGTTGCATGGGCTTTGTGTTGGGGAGGAAGCCGGAGCACAAAACCTTGTGTTTTTCAGTGTAAAGTGGCTGCAACCAGCGATGAAAGCTACTCGTTGTGCGGCGGTTGCGGCTGGGTTCGTTTGGGTCCTTATAAATGTGTTTTGCAACAATGCTTGTTCCTGTGTGCGTAGTTCTATGCGTTTCTTGAAGCTGTGGTGCCAGATCGCATTGGAATGGCTGCATGATGTTGCATGGGCTTTGTGTTGGGGAGGAAGCCGGAGCACGAAACCTTGTGTTTTTCTGTGTAAAGTGGCTGCAGCCGGCGATGAAAGCTACCTCGTCTGTGCGGCGGTTGCGGCTGGGGTCGTTTGGTTCCTTCTATGTGTTTTGCAACAATGCTTGTTCCTGTGTGCGTAGTTCTATGATGTTCTATGCGTTTCTTGAAGCTGTGGTGCCAGATCGCATTGGAATGGCTGCATGATGTTGCATGGGCTTTGCGTTGGGGAGGAAGCCGGAGCACGAAACCTTGTGTTTTCCGTGTAAAGTGGCTGCAGCCGGCGATGAAAGCTACCTCGTCTGTGCGGCGGTTGCGGCTGGGGTCGTTTGGTTCCTTCTATGTAATTTGCAACAATGCTTGTTCCTGTGTGCGTAGTTCTATGATGTTCTATGCGTTTCTTGAAGCTGTGGTGCCAGATCGCATTGGAATGGCTGCATGATGTTGCATGGGCTTTGTGTTGGGGAGGAAGCCGGAGCACGAAACCTTGTGTTTTTCCGTGTAAAGTGGCTGCAGCCGGCGATGAAAGGTACCTCGTCTGTGCGGCGGTTGCGGCTGCGGTCGTTTCTGTCGCGAATTGTTCCTCCTATGTGTTTTGCAACGAGTGGTTGTTCCTGTGTGCGTAGTTCTATGCGTTTCTTGAAGCTGTGGTGCCAGATCGCATTGGAATGGCTGCATGATGTTGCATGGGCTTTGTGTGGGGGAGGAAGCCGGAGCACGAAACCTTGCGTTTTTCCGTGTAAAGTGGCTGCAGCCGGCGATGAAAGCTACCTCGTCTGTGCGGCGGTTGCGGCTGGGGTCGTTTGGTTCCTTCTATGTGTTTTGCAACAATGCTTGTTCCTGTGTGCGTAGTTCTATGCGTTTCTTGAAGCTGTGGTGCCAGATCGCATTGGAATGGCTGCGTCAAGGTTGCTTGATGCTGCGGCTGCATGCGTAATACTATCGTCTTTTGCATCTGAAGATTGTTAATCGTATTGGAGTGGCTGCATCCAGGCTGCGATAGTGATTTGTCAGCAAATTTTCGCAATTTTGGCGCTAGTAATTTTCCTTTTAAAAATTCTTTTAAAAAGTGCTTCAAAATCGTCTTTTTTCTGTTTTGGCGTCGACATCCGGTTTTGGAGCTGCAATTTCCGACACCGTTGCGGGCAGTTCTATTGTGTTTTGCAACTCAGTCTCTGCAGATCGCATTGTCGTGGCTGCGTCAAGGTTGCTCGGTGCCGGCTGAAGATCGTAATCGTATTGGAGTGGCTGCATCCAGGCTGCGATAGTGATTTGTCAGTAATTTTCGCAATTTGGGCGCTAGTAATGTTCCTTTTAAAAAGGCTTTTAAAAAGTGCTTCAAAATTGTCTTTTTTCTGCTTTGGCGTCGACATCCGGTTTTGGAGCTGCAATTTCCGACACCGGCGCGGGTAGTTCTAGTGTGTTTTGCAACTCAGTCTCTGCAGATCGCATTGGAATGGCTGGGTCAAGGTTGCTTGATGCCGCGGCTGCATGCGTAATACTATCGTCTTTTGCAGCTGAAGATTGTTAATCGTATTGGAGTGGCTGCATCCAGGCTGCGATAGTGATTTGTCAGCAAACTTTCGCAATTTTGGTATAGTAATTTTCCTTTTAAACATTCTTTTAAAAAGTGATTCAAAATCGTCTTTTTTTCTGCTTTGGCAAGCCTTGTGCAAGCTTTGTAGTACAAAGTAGTACTGGAACGTGTTTTGTGCAAGCTTTGTAGTACAAAGTAGTACTGGGAAGTAGTTTGTGCAAGCTTTGTAGTACACAGTAGTACTGGGAAGTAGTTTGCGCAAGCTTTGTAGTACAAAGTAGTACTGCGGGAAAAAGCCAAACGGCGCTTGTCGCAAGCTTTGCAGTACAAAGTAAGTACTGGGAAGTTGTTGTGTGCAAGGCTTTGTAGTACAAAGTAGTACTGGAACGGTTTTGGGCAAGTTTGTTAGTAACAAAGTTAGTACTGAAGTCAAGTAGTTTTGTGCCAAGTTTTGATAGTCCCAGTAGTACTGGGAAGTGTTTGTGCAAGCTTTGTAGTACAAAGTAGTGCTGGGAAGTAGTTTGTGCAAGCTTTGTAGTGCAAAGTAGTACTGGGAAGTGCTTTGTGCAAGCTTTGTAGTACAAAGTAGTACTGGGATGTGCTTTGTGCAAGCTTTGTGGTACAAAGTAGTACTGGGAAGTGCTTGTGCAAGCTTTGTAGTACAAAGTAGTGCTGGGAAGTAGTTTGTGCAAGCTTTGTAGTACAAAGTAGTACTGGGAAGTGCTTTGTGCAAGCTTTGTAGGACACAGTAGTACTGGGAAGAAGCGGGGAATAGAGGGGCGTTTACTATTCCTTCCCCCCTATCTGAGGTTTGATTTGTCCCTGTTCAGAGGGTACGCTTTATTTAGGTAGTGGAGTGGACCGCTACATATTTCCTCCTTTCTTACTTTACCAGAGTTCTCATTCTATTGTCCCTTCTCCTAGACTTTCCCAGGCCTATTTTACCGACTCGTCTAAGTTCGGGTTTTTCATCGGAACTGTACTCACAACCAGAGTCAAGTTACACACATGCACCGCCCTTTCCAGGCTTCTGTATATATTGGTCATCTGTAGCCCGTCCGAACTCATAATTAAAGTACACAGTAGGAAGTACAAAGTAGAAAGTACTGGGAAGAGTAGTTTTTGTGCAAGCTTTGTAGTACAAAGTAGTACTGGAACGTGTTTTGTGCAAGCTTTGTAGTACAAAGTAGTACTGGAACGTGTTTTGTGCAAGCTATGTAGTACAAAGTAGTACTGGAACGCGTTTTGTGCAAGCTTTGTAGTACAAAGTAGTACTGGGAAGTGCTTTGTGCAAAGCTTTGTAGAACAACGTAGTACTAGGAGGGAATTTGTGCAAGCTTTGTAGTACAAAGTAATACTGGGAACGACTTTGTGCAAGCTTTGTAGTACAACGTAGTACTGGGAAGTAGTTTGTGCAAGCTTTGTAGTACAAAGTAGTACTGGAACGTGTTTTGTGCAAGCTTTGCAGTACAAAGTAGTACTGGAACGTGTTTTGTGCAAGCTTTGTAGTACAAAGTAGTACTGGGAAGTAGTTTGTGCAAGCTTGGTAGTACAAAGTGGTACTGGGAAGTACTTAGTGCAAGCTTTGTAGTACAAAGTAATACTGGGAACGACTTTGTGCAAGCTTTGCAGTACAACGTAGTACTGGGAAGTAGTTTGTGCAAGCTTTGTAGTACAAAGTAGTACTGGGAAGTGCTTTGTGCAAGCTTCGTAGTACAAAGTAGTACTGGGAAGTGCTTTGTGCAAGCTTTGTAGTACAAAGTAGTACTGGGAAGTAGTTTGTGCAAGCTTTGTAGTACAAAGAAGTACTGGAACGTGTTTTGTGCAAAGCTTTGTAGTACAACGTAGTACTGGGAAGTAGTTTGTGCAAGTTTTGTAGTACAAAGTAATACTGGGAAGTAGTTTGTGCAAGCTTTGTAGTACAAAGTAGTACTGGGAAATACTTTGTGCAAGCTTTGTAGTACAAAGTAGTACTGGGAAATACTTTTGCCAGCTTTGTAGTGCAAAATAATACTGGAACGTGCTTTGTGCAAGCTTTGTAGTACAAAGTATTTTGTAAGACTCTTCTGTGGAAATGCATCTGTGTCTCAAGCTTTCTGACGTGCAGAAGAGCCGAGATGAGTTGAGACTAGCTTCGGTGAGATGAGAAAGTTTGAGCTGCGCTCAGATGACATGAAAATAGCCCAGAAGAACTTAGCTGACATATAGGAAGACATGAAATGAGATGAGAAGATCTCAGATGAGATGAGTTGAAATGAAGTGCAAGTGAGAAGTGCGGAGCATGAAATGTGAAGAATGCAATGTGAAGTGTGAGGAAAGTGTTTGCTTGACAGTCGACATCGTTGCACCGGGGTCGCGCGCAGGTCATGTCCTTGGACACAGCAACAACTGTTCTTGGTCGCGTTCTTGAAGTGAGAAGTGTGGACTGTGAAGTGTGGAGTGTGAAGTGTGAAATGTGGAGTGGGAAGTGTGAAGTGTGAAGTGTGGAGTGCGAAGAGTGCAGTGTGAAGTGTGAAGTGTGGAGTGTGAAGTGTGTAGGTGGAGTGTGAAGAGTGCAGCGAGAAGTGTGAAGTGCGAAGTGGAGCTTCACATGTGACATGTGAAACAGGACACCACTTTCACAGAATGCACGCACGCACGGGCTTGGCTGGCGCACGGCGCATGCAAGTTCTATAGATGAGAAAGGTCTTATATATATCTTTAAGGCAACTTCCGCCCCGCCTCGTGCGGGTACTACTGGTATATATTATATATACACACATATATATATACACAGTATATTTCATATTATACCTCTCTCTCTCCCTCTCTCTCTCTCTGTCTATATATATATATATACATACATATATATATATATTTTAGTCTCACAGATTCCCCATCTCTTCATCGGTTGGAACTGACTGAAATGTTTGCAGGAGCAGCTGCCTTGGGAGCGGTGCACCCGGCGCGTTGGGACGAATTGGAGATGCGCGAGCTTCGGGTCAACCGTGGATGGGTGGTTTCATACAACTTATAGTAACACAAACAAGATAGAACTGCAGTTTATCACTGCTTTAGGTAGATTTTACCTTTCCAGTTTTTTTCTCGGAGTTGCCATAATCGCCATGGATATATGGAGTCACCATGGCTGCAGTTACCGCAGTGATGACCTCCTGGAAGTATATGTGGCCTTGGCGAGTGGGAAACGGAAGAAGCTGTCAATTCCGCAGTCCTCCAAAGTAGTGGACTTGAGACTTTTGGCCCAAGAATCTTTTGAACAAGCACCGCTGAAGCTTGTCAGTGCAGCAGGGCGAGTTTTGAGTGATCCTGCTGAAACTCTGAAAGATGCTCTGCAAGATGGGGATCACGTCACAAAGATTGCGCAGACTCCAATGCTAGCTAGAACAGGTAAGGATTTTGCTCTGTGGTGCTGTGGAGATAATGCGGTTCATACACGGGGCGATCCACGTCATGGTGGTGACAGCTCTGCCATCCAGGATTAGCTGAGGCTGAGGGGTGTGCAGGAGGTTCAGGCCACAGGCAGCGCATTTGCTGCGATCCTGGAAGACACTTCCGAGTTTGCTGGTGGTGACAGCTCTGGCGTTGAAGAGCAGCTTAGGAGTGTGAAGCAGATTCAGGTCACAGGCAGTGCGTATGCGTGCAGCTGATTGGCCAATCTGTGCTGATTTCATCCCAAGTTGCCAGGGCTATGTGCAGCGGCTCCCCAAGAAGGAAGATCATCATCTTGCCTGGCTGATGGCTCAGTGCTGGTGTGGCAGGGGACCTGAAAACAGGGGATTTACACGACAAAATTGCAATTTAAACATGGGGAAAATGATGATAAACTGATAAGTTATGATAGATTATGATAGATTATGATAGATTATGATAGATTGTGATAGATTGTCAAGTTTGGGGTTACTCTATTTTCAGAGAATCCCAGAGGGATTTTCAGAGCTTACATTGGGGACTAGATTTGAAGACCGGGTTTTTGCATTACTTCGGATTGTGTAGAAAGGAGTGGATGAACACCTTGTGGGTGATTGTGGGTGCATACATGTCCATCTACCCCATGTTGGAGCCATACCCATCGGCCAAACGCATCTAACGCCTTCCCGCTTTTATGCGCAAAAAAAAAGGAACCCCTTGTTCAGTGATTTATCCAATTTGCTTTGGAGAACCATGATCCCAACCCCCAAAAAGATGGACAATTTGCGCCACTTTACACCCATTTACAATTATTCTAGTAAGATGTTGCCTATCTTTTTTTGGGGTTGCTAAACTGTGTTAATTTCACGTAGCTGTGGAAAAATTAGAAAAATGATGGCAAATGGCCCGTTTATAGATTCGATTTATTGAAAACTGTGATTTTCCATACTTGGTGCTCCATCTCAGTCAGTAAGTGGGGTTATTCACCCTAGATAAAAATGGACTAATCATACTTATCCTACTTATAACTGGGGTTATATCAAATTACCAGAGGGTAGTCTTCGGGGCGATTCTCATGGCCATTTGGACCATTTCCATCTCGAGGTCCCAATCGATGAGCACCCGACTCTACAGCGATTTCGCGTGAGCCCAAGGGACTCCCCAGTGGTGCGCACAGTAGACTTTGCTGCTTCAAAAGTGGTTGTGTTAAGGGATAGCTGGTGGGGGTTATCCATTGAGAAATCGACATCTACCAGAACACGAAAATGGGGATAGCACGGGTTTGTCACCCCAGCCCTTTCGTTATGGGATTTCATACTTGCAACGGTGTGAATTTGAGATTACCAGCTGAGTTGCTCGTACAATTTGGGTCGAAGGGTCTCAAAGATCAGCCGTGTGCCTCATATGGTCATTGATCAATATAGGAATTCCAATATATCATATATGCCAATATTTATGATTTTATATGATCATTTTGGAGTAATTTGGATAGATATACGTAGTTTTTTTTTTTTTAAATCCAATTCCGTATATGGTCCATATTGTATCTACTGCAGTGGTTACTGCAGGATGTATGCTGTGGAATTAGGTTGATGGAAGCAATGATGAACACACAATCATATTTGGATATATTTGGAATATAGTAGAACACTCCAAATTCTATCCGGATTCTATCATTCTATCATCTAAGATGGTATTGCCCATTACAACCTCACCACTGGACCCCAAAGAACCAAAAATAAATGGAGATTTTGATGGTGGTTTCCCGATGGTAGTGAAGAATATCTACATTATAACTGGGTGAATCACCATTCTGAGGCGCTGCCATGGATCCTGTTCCTTGGTGATGAGGATGTGGAGTTCATCCCAAATTGGGTCACCATAGAATTTTAAGCCGGAAAAGCTGGTGGTAGAATGGGATATGGTGATTTCAGACATTTCATGTGGACATTTCATGATCAATCTGGGTGGTGTCAAGGGCGGTTGAGGTCACCAAGCAGTTTGCATTGGACATGGAGACAACCCACGTTACTATTACCAAACCGCCCATCATGTATTTACCATTTCAAGATGATTTGTGGGATGGTAGAAGTACCACCCATCTCTGCTAGCATTTGAGACCGTTATCTATTGGGTTTGCCACATTGACTAAACTGGAACCGCAATGTCTTGAACTACCCATTAACAACCATTAACAGCCGTTAACAACCATTAATAAGCACCAATAAGAACCATTCATAAACATTAAAAATCATAAACAACCCAAACTCCACTTTTCTGTTTGATCTTGAAATCGGTGAACCAATCTAAAGCTTAACCTTAAAGACTCCGGAGTTTGCACCTCTTCTCCCAACACAACTCCGCTCTTCCCGGCCAAAGTTTGCATCTCTCCCCGCGTCTTTTTTTGCGTATGGCGACAGGCAAATGGATCCAGAGACTGCACACACCCTGACCCTGAGATGTGGGGAGCTTGTGCAGGCGGTTTGTGTGTCTTGGGGTGGTGGGTTGAAGATGTACGGTTTCTCTGAAAATGGGAATCTGTTCTAGAAATTGCAACTTTTTGTAGGAGGGATCATGGATTTTCCATGATTTTAGAAAGCATTGGACATTTTGGGTAGCTCATTTTCTAGTTCCTCCATGTTAATCCCCATAATTGTAGAGCTTCGCACACCGGCGATGCCTGTAGGGGTCGGGGGAGGGAAAGAGAGAGGGGGATTTTATCTGAACTTGCGGACATGACATGCTGCGAGCTGCATCTTCGTTGTCGTCATCGTCATTGTCGTCGTTGTCGTCGTTGTCGTTGTTGTCGTCGTTGTTGTTGCTTCTGGTCCTCCTTCTCGTTCTTGTTCTTTTTCGTGTTGTCGTTGTCGTCGTCGTTGTCCTTGTTGTCGTCGGCCTCGTTGTCCTTGTTATCGTCGTTGTTGTCGTTGTTGTTGTTGTTGCTGCTGCTGTTGTTGCGTCTGTTCCTCGTTCTCGTTCTCGTTCTTGTTCGTGTTGTTGTTGTCGTCGTCGTTGTCCTTGTTGTCGTCGTTGTCATAGGGATCTGAACTCGCGGACACGACATGCTGAGGGTCGGCGGCCTGTCTTGGGGCTATGTTGGCCCATCTTGGAGCTATGTTGGCCCATCTTGAGGCTATGTTAGCCTATGTTGGCCCATCTTGAGGGCTATGTTGGCCCATCTTGGGGCTATGTTGGCCCATCCTGAGGCTATATTGGTCCATCTTGGCGATCTTGGGGGCTATGTTGGGTCATGTTGAGGCTATGTTGGCCCATCTTGAAGCCTATGTTGGCCCGTGTTGCCCCATCTGGAGACCCAAGCTCTGAAATCCCACCCCGAACCCCGAAAAACGTGAAAACCCCAGCAGGCTGAAGGATTTTAGGGGAGGGTCGGCAGCAGGGGCGCGCCCCCGGGTAGCTAAAGCTATGCTTAGCTGCCACCACAAACGGCGAGGCAGCGCCGGATTGATATTAAGCGCTTACGCGCGACAGCCGGCCAGGGGCCCAACTATGTGGGCCCATTTTGTGGCTATGTTGGCCTATGTTGGCCTATGTTGGTCTATCTTGCGGGCAATATGGGCCCATCTTGTGGCTAGGTTGGCCTATGTTGGCCTCAGGTTGATTCATGTTGAGCCAAAAGATCCGAAAAATAGGAACAGCAAAAAAACCACTGTAAAACGCAGGAGATTTTGATGGTCGGCGGCCTATCTTGGGGCTATGTTGGCCCATCTTGGGGCTATGTTGGCCTATCTTGAGGGCAATGTGGGCCCATCTTGGGGCTATGTTGGCCCATCTTGGGACTATGTTGGCCCATCTTGGAGCTATGTGGGCCCATCTTGGAGCTATGTTGGTCCCTCTTGGGGACTATGTTGGCCCATGTTGGGGCTACGTTCGCCCTTCTTGATGCCTATGTTGGCCCATGTTGACCCATCTTGAGCCACAAGATCCGAAAAAGGAGAAAAAATGCGAAGAGCACCAAAACACCGTAAAACAGGACGTTTTTTGGCCGGACCGGGTGGGTCGGCGGCAGGGGGTGCGGCCCCTCTCTCCTATGGAGAGGAGAGAAACGCCTTCGGCTATGCCACGGCCAGGGGGCCCCTGGCCGGAATATAAGGGCTGCCGCCCCTGCCGCCGACCCCGGAAAAATGGGGAAAGAGGAAACAGCACGATCAACATTTTCCATATGTGTGTGTCGTGTTGTGTATGTGTGGCAGTGAAGGACGGAGAAGCCCCAAAATTGCACACCGAAAATGCCTAACGTAACTTCTGAAACCCATAGAAAATGATGATTTTGGCAGCTTTTTCCTCTTGCTGCTGCTATGAATTTTAGCTACCTTTTCCTCCTGCTGCTGCAGAGGCTTTTGCTGCTGCTGCTGCTGGTCCCCGGATGGGAAAACACCATGGCAGTGAAAGACGGAGAAGCCCCAAAATTGCACCCCGAAATTCTGAAACCCATAGAAAATGATGAGATTTTGGCGGCTTTTTCCTCTTGCTGCTGCTATGAATTTTAGCTACCTTTTCCTCCTGCCACTGCAGAGGCTTTTGCTGCTGCTGCTGCTGCTTCTGCTGCTGCTGGTCCCCGGATGGGAAAACACCATGGCAGTGAAGGACGGAGAAGCCCCAAAATTGCCCCTGAAAATGCCTAACGTAACTTCTGAAACCCATAGAAAATGATGATTTTGGCTACTTTTTCCTCTTGCTGCTGCTATGAATTTTGGCTACCTTTTCCTCCTGCTGCTGCAGAGGCTTTTGCTGCTGCTGCTGCTGCTGGTCCCCGGATGGGAAAACACCATGGCAGTGAAGAACGGAGAAGCCCCAAAATTGCACCCCGAAAATGCTAACGTAACTTCTGAAACCCATAGAAAATGATGGTTTTGGCTGCTCTTTCCTCTTGGTGCTGCTATGAATTTTTGGCTACCTTTTCCTCCTGCTGCTGCAGAGGCTTTTGCTGCTGCTGCTGCTGGTCCCCGGATGGGAAAACACCATGGCAGTGAAGGACGGAGAAGCCCCAAAATTGCACCCCGAAAATGCTTAACGTAACTTCTGAAACCCACAGAAAATGATGAGATTTTGGCTGCTTTTTCCTCTTGCTGCTGATGAATATGAATTTTGGCTACCTTTTCCTCATGCTGCTGCAGAGGCTTTTCCTGCTGCTGCTGGTCCCCGGATGGGAAAACACAATGGCAGTGAAAGACAGAGAAGCCCTAAAATTGCACCCCGAAAATGCCTAACGTAACTTCTGAAACCCATAGAAAATGATGATTTTGGCAGCTTTTTCCTCTTGCTGCTGCTATGAATTTTAGCTACCTTTTCCTCCTGCCGCTGCGGAGGCTCTTGCTGCTGCTGCTGGTCCGCGGATGGGAAAACACCATGGCAGTGAAAGACGGAGAAGCCCCAAAATCAGAGGCTTTTGCTGCTGCTGCTGCTGCTGCTGCTGCTGGTCCCCGGATGGGAAAACACCATGGCAGTGAAGGACGGAGAAGCCCCAAAATTGCACCCCGAAAATGCTTAACGTAACTTCTGAAACCCATAGAAAATGATGATTTTGGCTGCTTTTTCCTCTTGCTGCTGCTATGAATTTTAGCTACCTTTTCCTCCTGCTGCTGCAGAGGCTTTTGCTGCTGCTGCTGCTGCTGCTGAGGCTGGTCCTTGGATGGGAAAACACAATGGCAGTGAAAGACGGAGAAGCCCCAAAATCAGAGGCTTTTGCTGCTGCTGCTGCTGGTCCCCGGATGGGAAAACACCATGGCAGTGAAGGACGGAGAAGCCCCAAAATTGCACCCCGAAAATGCTTAACGTAACTTCTGAAACCCATAGAAAATGATGATTTTGGCTACTTTTTCCTCTTGCTGCTGCTATGAATTTTGGCTACCTTTTCCTCCTGCTGCTGCAGAGGCTTTTGCTGCTGCTGCTGCTGAGGCTGGTCCCCGGATGGGCAAACACCATGTAGCCCCAAAATCAGAGGCTTTTGCTGCTGCTGCTGCTGCTGGTCCCCGGATGGGAGAACACCATGGCAGTGAAGGACGGAGAAGCTTCAAAATTGCACCCGGAAAATGCCTAACGTAACTTCTGAAACCCATAGAAAAAATGATGAGATTTTGGCTACTTTCTCCTCTTGCTGCTGCTATGAATTTTTGGCTACCTTTTCCTCCTGCCGCTGCAGAGGCTTTTGCTGCTGCTGCTGCTGGTCCCCGGATGGGAAAACACCATGGCAGTGAAGGACGGAGAAGCCCCAAAATTGCACCCCGAAAATGCTTAACGTAACTTCTGAAACCCACAGAAAATGATGAGATTTTGGCTGTTTTTTTTCCTCTTGCTGCTGATGAATATGAATTTTGGCTACCTTTTCCTCCTGCTGCTGCAGGGGCTTTTGCTGCTGCTGCTGCTGGCCCCGGCTGCTCTTACTGCTACTGCTGCTGCTGGACTTACTGATGCCGCTGCTATTGCCACGGACGCTGCTCTGGCTGCTGCTGCAGCTCCCGGCAGCAAAACACCATGGCCCTAAAGGACGAACCGAATCCAAAATATACGTTTTGAAATCCTACAAAAAACTTGCTGTTGGTGCGCTGGTGCGGACATTATCATTGTTTTACGTTTTAAGAGCTGCTGAGCTGCTGCTGCTGGTCCCCGCTGCTCTTACTGCTACTGCTGCTGCTGGACTCACTGCTGCCGCTGCTACTGCCACGGCCGCTGCTCTGGCTGCTGCTGCAGCTCCCGGCAGCCACAGCCAGACATCTTTTGATGGACTATACTAGATGTGCTGCCGTTGCTGCTGCTGCTGCTGGACTGGTAGTAAGGGTCAAAAGTCTTTTTCCCTGGCGCGCTCCCCCTTGCGTCTGCCGGGGTCGGCGGATCGGCGGATTATTAATGGGTTATAACCCAGTTCCTAACCAATTTGAGCGAATCCCACCCATGGGTTTCCGACGTTTTTCGCGTCTCTCAGTCAGGTGCTCCATGCGATGCTTCCCAACACGGTCCCAATGCAGTGGCTGCTGAAGCCCGGCGTAGCGGCGCCGCAGGGGCCATCGCTACAGCAGCGGCTCATGGGCTTGGCCTTTGAAGCTGGGATCCGTTGCCGGGGGAACGGGACTGGAAATGTGGGGATTAAGAACAAAAAAACTAACAATGGATGTAGGAATGTATGGGGATATATGGTGATAAACCAACCAAAATGGGATTTTACTTTATATAGAACATATGGGAAGTAAATGGAAGTAAGGCAACCATTCAGTGGGGTATAACCAGTAATTACGGAACAACTACCAACCATCAACCGGGATATAGTAATATCTCTATATAGGAAATGTTTGAGATGTAATGAGGATATATTGGGGAATATACAGTAACCAACAATAATAATTTTTGGCGTGTTTGACGTGTCTGAAAATGCTGGGGGAGACGAAACCCGTGGCCTTCTTCAGAACTTAGGAGTTGATCAACCACAGCTGCGAAGTGGTGTTACCAATAATCATGGGGATATAACTTAAACCACCATGTATATGGCTTAAACAACACCATCAATCATTTTAGTGCTGGTAAAATCATGATCTAAACCATCTTTGATTGATGGTGTTGTATTCCCCGTAGTAGTATGGCATGATGATCACGGTTGCTCACGCCGGATAGATGACTAGCCTCCAAGAGGGGAATCTTGGTAGAGGCCTTCACCAATCAAAGCAGAGTGAAAATGACAGCGGGTAGTAAACTACTCCAATTTTAGGGAATTTCTTAGGGAGTTTATGTATACATAGACCCAGGTCATTGAGGGTATGTCTTGGGTGGTTTTTTGTGGTGTGCTTGCCCCAAGCACAAGTACTATAGATAGGGGCTGTATGGACGTGCGAAACTTGGGTATACCCCTAGTTCCGTCCATTCTCAGAGGCAAAAGCTACAAAACAAAATTGGATTTAGGGGTGTCCCCCAAAATTCTCAGGTACCAAACCCGGATTGGTCGTCAGGGTGACATGCAAAAATCCTGCGGGGTTTCCTATGTAGATTTCCGATCACAAACCCAAAGAAATGTGAAGATGCTGCCTGGTTTAAAGAACATCCCAGGACAGCCCCGTCGGCATTGCTGCTGGCTTTGACAAGAATGCCTTGCTGGTCGCCTGGCTATGGGCATCCAGGTATATGTATATAGAGTTTGCTTCACTAATTTAATCCAGCTTTTTTTTTTGCAGGATCACACCCTTGTTCTCCATTCAATGGATGAATTTTGTTGGGAAAATCGAAACCGAAAGCCATGTTTATTTGCCCCAAATGTAGTTTTTTATTCGCAGATTTTCCCTCAAATTAAAGCAACTGCAAAATAGATCGAGCATCTCCGATCAACTTGGAAATATGAAGCAAATATCATCTATGCTATACCGGTATCTAAGATCCTGGGAAACACACAAAATCCGGCCTCATCCAGCCCTCCATTTTTGGGTTGAACCTTTACATAGAATTGGATGATGGGGAACAAAAATCACCGGAAAGCCCAGAAATTCGATGGTCAAAAGCCATGGCTTTCCATGGGTTTGTCCAGGTGCCGCTGTACCGCAGGGGTTTTCTTGGCCTGGGCTTCGCCGAGATCGGCTCCGTGAGTGCCAGGGCGGCGGCGGGCAATGCCAAGCCTAGGCAGGTTGGGGGGTCGGGGTGGGGATGGGGTTGGTATGGGGGTTGGTTGATATGCTTAAGGGTTGATTTATGTTGGGTTTAAGGGTTGGTTTCTATGTTCTCAAATGTTTATAAATCTATGTTCTCAAATATTGTAAATGACTTTTTGATATTTTGTGATTCTCAAATGACGGCTGGGGGACGGGGGTAGGATAATTATATATATATATAGATCGGATGTATACATATAGAGCTGCTTTTTGACGAAAAACTTGGAATAGTTTTTCATTTTTTAAAATGGTATATATATATATATATATGATAAATATGGTATTCCATTTCTTAAAACTTGGGATATATATGACTTAGGGTTCTTTTTCCTGAGCAGCTTTTACTTTGAAAAGCAAGGGTTCCTCAACAGGCTGATACAGCCCGTGTCGTTTTTGAAATCGGACGGGCACAAAGGAACCTGATGATACTGGCAATATTTATACATTAATATCAATGGATTGGTTTAAGGGAAAATCTACAGGAAACAATAGATTTTCCCACTCAATATGGGGTTTTCCTGTAAATTTCCCTTAAACCAATCCATTGATAATATCACCATGTTCAACTTCAAATTCTCGGGATTACTTTGATTGATCTCCACCCAAATTTTGGGTTTAACCGTGATCAACCATGTAATCATTATGAAATAATGAACTATGGTTATATGTAATTCATTAACATTATCAACCATTACATGTAATTCATGAACGGTTACATGTAATTCACTAACATTATCAACCATTACATGTAATTCATTAACGGTTACATGTAATTCACTAACATTATCAACCATTACATGTAATTCATTAACGGTTATATGTAATTCATTAACATTATCAACCATTACATGTAATTCATGAACGGTTACATGTAATTCACTAACATTATCAACCATTACATGTAATTCATTAACGGTTACATGTAATTCACTAACATTATCAACCATTACATGTAATTCATTAACGGTTACATGTAATTCACTAACATTATCAACCATTACATGTAATTCATTAACGGTTACATGTAATTCACTAACATTATCAACCATTACATGTAATTCATGAACGGTTACATGTAATTCACTAACATTATCAACCATTACATGTAATTCATTAACGGTTACATGTAATTCACTAACATTATCAACCATTACATGTAATTCATTAACCGTTACATGTAATTCACTAACATTATCAACCATTACATGTAAGTCATTAACGGTTACATGTAATTCACTAACATTATCAACCATTACATGTAATTCATTAACGGTTACATGTAATTCACTAACATTATCAACCATCACTTTCATGACCATCTGTCAGCATGATGATGTTCGTTGTCACCAGGTGTTGGCGCATCCCCAGCGATGAGGTGGTGGTGAACGCCATGGGCTTGAACAACGAGGGCGCGGAGGCCATTGCGGAGAAGCTTAGGAGCCTCAAGGTGCTTGGAAAACGTGGTGAATTTCACAAGGGACCGAATTTTCGGACGTACTGTGGACTTTTTGTGTGGAAATCTGGATCTTATCATGTCTTATTGGATGGAACTATGGTGGAAATATGGTGTTTCTTGATGAAACATGGGGAATCTCAGGCAACAAAATGGATGTTTAATGGTGGTTTTGGTGATTTAAGCAGAACAAACTTGGGGCGTCGCTAAGGATGATTGGTCCTTGTACACAGATTTACAGGTTGTTTACGTCCACATTCTTGAACGCATGTTTTTTGCACAGCTCTTTGGGACTAATGTCGCTGCTGGCTCGGAACGAATTCTGCCAGAATGGTTCGGAGATTATCCGCCATAATCTGGTCCGATCTCGGTGCCAAAAACACGACAAATCATCGTGCAGCACCTCTGGAAAAAATCAGGGTCCATACCAGCTTCTGTGCTTGCTGGATGCTCGCGGAACCACTGACAAAAGGATGCGGCGAGGGCGCGATTCATCGCCGGTGGATATTCCTTTAATGGAGATGTCTTCCACGTGCCATTCTCAGCTTTGCCGATCGCGCTGCGCTTTGGCAGCTCAGAAGTGATCTGATGAGTTCGAAGTTCACGCCGAAGCCCCGGCAGGTTCAACGCAAGAAGACGCGTCGGCTTCGGGGAGAGCGCGCCAAGCAGGCCCTGAGCAAGGTCGATAAGCTCCACCCCGCTCAATCTCGTGAGCAATTGCAAGAGCGCCAATCTCCAAATGGACGGCCGAGATGGGTCTTCTGGCTCTTGCGGGTGCTCTAAGACCCCAAAACCGCCAACACATGCAAGCGTGATGAGGAGGAAGACCGAAAAGAGCAACAATTCATTCCCTGTCGCAACCTGTTGTGCCTCACGCAGGCTAAGCGAAGAGAATCCCCAGAGTTCTTCTCGATCTCTAAGAGGACGTGGGCCTCTTTCAGGACCTGCCTGGTTAGGCACGAATCTGGCCTGTGACCAAGTCTCGCAGGGAGGCCCACATAGAGCTCCGCATGCCCATCCTGCACGTGCTCCTCGAAGCCAAAAGTTTTGCGTGTCAGCCTGTCGGACATTGCCCCAGTGCTGGTCAATGACCAAATCCAGCGAGACAACGCAAAGAACCGAACCATCAGGGCATAGCTGATCAAATAGTTGCTCCATAAAGAATTGAAGGTCTCCTTCACGTCTTCTGCCGGAAAAAACGTGCAAGAAGATTCTCTCTCTGCTGCAAGGTCTCGGAATGGGCTGAGTCTCATTGAGCGGCTGCATCTGTCTGAAATCTTCCTCCAAATGCTCCAATGTCTCCTGTGAACCCGTTCCTTGCTCACGGCAGGGGAAGAAAGGCCACGACGAGTCTCGAATGATGTCTCTGCAAAACCTGTTTGATGTGCTGGAGCCGCTGCTTCGAAAGGCGAAGATAACCTCTGGAAAAAAGAAACCAATCCAGTCGGGCTTTCGCTCGTGCCCTTCGATGAGCCCTGCGTGTAGTGTCGCTTGCCGTGGTCAAAGTCCAGCAGGCCTGTGAAGCCCTCCTCCACAACCTGCTCGGGGACCCCCACAAAAGCGCAAAAGGAAGTGACCAGCTCAAGGAACAGAATGGATGCCAGGATGGTGAAGAAGGTCAATGCCCTGCACATACACGACAAAGACCACAAAGAGGTCGAAGTTAGGCCTGCACAGTGCCAAGCAAAGCCAGGGCGCACCAGTTGAGCTCGCCGGCAGCCGTGCAAGAACCCGCGGGCAGTGACCAAATGCCCGCTCAGGCGGTGGAACCAACGGGCGAGGGGCCCTTGTGATCCAGAATGCCTTTGAACGCATGTGCCTATATATTTGATCCCAAAAACCACCATAAGATGGCAGTTTCTTGGACCTCCTTGCGATTGAACATGAAGAGTTCACCCGAATTCATCATGACCATGGGACTATCATAGGGCTTTCACAAGGGGAACATCAAGCAGACCTTAGCCCCATCCCCTGCACCAGGTGGAGGGCCATCAGGGGCGCCCTGTGGGGGTGAACATCGCCAAGACCCACGACCCCAATATCCTGGGTGCTGCGGCAGTGGAGGACTTTGCCACGTCCTTCCGGCTGCTGGCGCCTCTGGCGGATTTCGTGGTGCTGAACGTGTCGTGTCCCAACACCACGGAGGGGAAGACCTTTGAGGAGAGATCTGGAGGTTTTTTTTCCAGTTTGTGGGTAGTGAATGGGCGAAAAACCACTACCCTCTGGTTATGTCAAAATAGCTATTGAAAATGGCCATTGAAATAGTGGATTTACCTATTCAAAATGGTGATTTTCCATAGTTATGTTAGTTTACCAGAGGGTAAGTAGGATGATCTTCCAAGTAGATCTGGGCGGTTGTTGGGGATGTGGAATTTTGGGCAAGTCCCTGGTTTGTTGGTGGTTGAATATACGCAGGCTTGATGGACCCAAATCGGATTGTGGGGGGTCTGATTCCAAGCCTTCAGTGCTCATGTCTCGAGTTTAGGTGGTCACCTCTTCTTTTTGCTGCCAAAATCCAATTTGTGTGAAACTTTGTCGTTCAAATCCTCGTTTTGCAATGTCTTTGGCAGAAAACGGGTCAAGTCCCTCAGTTTCCCCGCAGACAAAACAACAAAATCCAACAGTTTCCCCGAAACAAGTCGCAAATCAACATCTGTCCCCCAAAATCCCAAAATCCCCCAAACAAAATCGGTAGACAGCTATAAAAACCCACCAAAAACCCACCATTTCCCAGCCATTTTCCGAAGTCATCAACGCCAGGAGCCAGCGGCTCTGGCGGAGCTGCTGGGTGCGGTGGGCCGCACGCGCAAGGCGCTGGCGGAGAAGGTGCCGGTGCTGGTGAAGCTCATGGCCACGGCGGATGATCAGGTGGGGTTTTGGAGGAAAAGCTGATCATCTTGGTGATTTAATGGTGGTTTTATGGGATTTAATGGTGGTTTAATGGGATTTAATGGTGGTTTAATGGGATTTAATGGTGGTTTAATGGGATTTAATGGTGGTTTATTCTTAATCTATAATTATAGCCATATTATATTTTTATATATAGAGATTAACTGGAAAATATAGGATATACCCTCTGGTTATGACTAACATAGCCATGGAGGCCATGGCCCATAGAAATAGATGGTTTACCGTTCTTAAAAATGGGTGGATCTTTCCAGGGCGAACTGTTAGTCAAAACCAGATGGTAATTATAGTCATCCCCAAATAAATATGTTATATAGCTACATAACTTTAAGAGAGAGATCTACTTATTTTTCAGTCATCCCCCGTAAACAAAAAATAGTCATTAGCCATTGATAGATGATCAATAGATGATAATAGTAGTTCATGGATGTTTTTGTTACTATAGTTAATATATATATAGATTAACTATGGTTAATGGATGTTAATGGTTACTATATTAATATGGCTAATGGTGTTGTGGCAAACTCATATAACTGATGGGAAAAACCCATGACTCTAATATTCAACACCCCTTTTTTTGCATGGTCCCTACATGAAATGTGGTTTCATTCCCTACATCCACCATGGTTTCGTTTAGGGGGTGTTTGGTATTAGGGGACAGATTAATTATAGTCATCCCCAAATAGATGAAAAGTAAATCACCATCTATTTCTAGTAGGGATTTACTTTTCCAATTTGGGGATGACTATATATATATGATGGAAATACATATATTTATTTACCATATAGATGTGGAAGATGGGAATATTATGGACATAATTATAATATATTATAATCCCTTCCCCCTACTGAGCCTCCCCAAATAATAAAAGCTAGGGTTAGTAATAGGAAGAAGGGATTACTGTAATATATATATATATACACATATTGATTATTGGAATAGTATGGAATAGTAATGAGCAATGATAGTTAACTATGCGGATAAGAGAATATCAAGAGATTAGGATTGAACAAATCATTTCACCCTAGTTTTCAACACCAAGACGACATGGTTTAGTAACATAGGAGGGTTTACAGTACAGATGGCACAATTTGATGGAAATCTCTGGGGCAACTAATCACTAAATCAATATAAGTAAATCAACTCATATCTATCTAATACTAAAAAAATAACAATAGAGTATCTACCTGGGAAATTGATGGGTGGGGTGGGGAATAGGATGGGAATAGGATGGGAAATAGGAAAAAATAGGATATTATTATTATTATTATAGTAATCTATGAATGATATAGCATTATGGATATATATATATATAGTACTAGTACATAATTATGGGAATATCATCATCTGTTTAAGCATGTAGACTAGGATAATCACGATGTTGATAGTTGATGGCCATATCCTATAATCAATAAATCACCAGCAACTTCATTATCAAGATAGTCATTATCAATGAGAGTGAACTATGGGGTTAATAATAACAATCAATATGTTAACGATGGGGATATAGAATATCAAGGAAATATATGGGATAACTAATCACTATATGTACATACAATAATCAACAGTAGAGTACTCAACTGTTTATAATAGGATATTTACTATGCATGTGCTAACTATGTTCAAAATCGTCCAAAATCCCAAATCATCCAAATTCACTCAAACTCATCCAAAATCCAACTTCAATCAAAATCCAGAACCATCCAAAATCCAAAATTCCAAATCATCGAAGTTCATCATCCAACATCATCAACAACCCATGGTTTCCTGTCGAATTTCGCCGCACGACCGGCGTCCGCGAGCCGAGGCCGGGCGTCAAACGCAACGTGAGTTGCTGCAAGTCATTGAGGATGCGGGCTTTGTCGAGGGACTCGCGCCTTGGTGAAACCAGGATGGTCGCCCTTACGACGGGAAGGGTTTCTTTCAGCTTAGTGGGGTTAGTGATGGTTAATGATGGTTGATGATGGTTAATGATGGTTGATGATGGTTAATGATGGTTGATGATGGTTAATGATGGTTAATGATGGTTGATGATGATGATGGTTGATGATGGTTGATGATGGTTAATGATGGTTGATGATGGTTAATGATGGTTATGGATGGTTAATGATGGTTAATGATGGTTGATGGTTAATGATGGTTAATGATGGTTAATGATGGTTAATGATGGTTAATGATGGTTGATGATGGTTAATGATGGTTGATGATGGTTAATGATGGTTGATGATGGTTAATGATGGTTAATGATGGTTGATGATGGTTGATGATGGTTGATGATGGTTGATGATGGTTGATGATGGTTGATGATGGTTGATGATGGTTGATGATGGTTGATATAATAGTGATTTATGTGGGCAAAACAATGCCATAAACAATCCCCCAGTCATCACGATAAATAAGTGGTATAAACCATTCCCAAATGAGTGGTTTATTATTGTTTTAACTGCATTAGTGGGGAATTTTAAGCAATCTCATAAGGCTCCACTGATGTTGTCAATCATTGATTCGATTTGGTCAAATTATGCGTGTTGAATAATGCCGGTTCCAATTCCCAATCTTCAAGAAGTTAAAGCATTTACTGTATGGAACGCGAATGAGACTTTTACTGGGGAAACGAGCTGGGAATGGTTCAAAAGGGAAAAACATGCGACACACAGGAAAAATAATTGCGAACCATGGCAAACAAATGACAAAACATGAGAAAATAAAATAGTTTTCTTCCCCTGGTTTGTGGCTACAAGTTCTCAATATAGAGGGTCATACATTACCCGCAAACTGTGACTGACTTCCAACTAGATGGGTAAGTCGGCAAAAAAATCATCAGAGCAACTAGGAATTATTTTATGGACGTATGCACAGTTGGATGCGTGAAAACAAACCAAATTATAACTCCGAGGCCCTGTTCCCTGAAAACCTTCGCAGTTTTCAAACATTTGGGGATTTTTGGGATAATGGCAGCTATTAATATTACCAATTATAGCAATACTAGATATTCTTGCTGCTATTACCATTGAGACTATCCTTATCATAGTCAGCATTACTATGAATGTTGTTTCTATGATTGATGCCGCAACTGATCGCACCTGAAGGTGTGGTATGCCTGCCTGTGTTTTTTGTCGTGGAAGTTTCCCCCAAGCCAAGGTGATTTCGAACACCGTCAAAAATCCCGAGGCCAAACTCTCAAAGAAGGCCCTAGGCCCTTTTTGGCCCCTGGGAGGTAATCTTTGTTTTTTTTTTGCTGGTTACAACTGGATTTTTCCGGTAAACATGTTGCCTCACAGGTAGTGCTACTGGATTTTTAGTGGTTTTGCTCAGCTGTGTATCAGTATCTGTCACGGCCGGCGGTTGATTTTTTCATTCAACACGATGTGTCCCATTGGATTGCCAAGCATCAATCAAGGGCCCTAGAAACGCACCCAGACAGTGACTTGAGCCAACCTCTCGGTTCGATTCCATCTCATATTTTTGCTGGTCAAGTTCGCCTTGCGGTTGAGCCAGTTGAGCCCCACATTTCTAGGTTAGATGCCAGTGTCTGCTGGTGATATCCACACTATGTCCATGTCTCCCTGCAGGGTAGAGAAGAAGCCAACGCCATCGGAAAAGGCGGCGTGAGTGGAAGGCAAGGGGTTGACATAGAATGTTTCCGTGATGGCACTTTTGTGGTTTCTTGGTAGAGGGGTGAAAGAGGAAGAAATTGAGATCCGTACCAAACTTACCGTGATGTTTTGGGAACATGAGAGCAAAGAGGAGCGTTAGTAACTTGCTAGTGGATTGCTGTAGAGTTTGATTATGAGAGAGGCACTTCCGACAACGATTTGCAATCAATGTGGCTACCACTGATTGCTTGGTATGCCTCATTCAATTGCTGAGGCAGACTTCAGGATCACAATATGTTCAAAACAAATCATTTGAGTATGCAAGGACGGTCGTCCCCCCAACTAATAGGGATCAATTAATATGGAGGTTTCCAAAAATAGGGGTACTCCCAAATCATCCATTTATAGATGGGATTTTCCATGAACTAAACCAATTTTTGCTCTTGGGGTACCCCGGGTACCCCCATGACTATGGAACCCCCTACCCATCATTGGCGGAATCCCAAGTGATGGATGACCAGCCCCCCACTCCAACCAGATTCGGGCAGGGTCATCCACAAGCGTAGTGTGGCAGCTATCAGATCTGCTTATCAAGCAACAGGCGCGGGGCTGGCGATCAAAAACCTGGATTTCACAAGGGAGATGTGTTTTCAATAGGGAAACATTGTGGGGGGATTTCATGGGGATTAACCAACAGAAATAGGGATTTTGATGGATTTTGGGGTTTAGAATGGGATATCATTCGAAGTTTTTTGATTAAACCAAAGAGTGTCTTTTTGTCCAGAAAAAGCGAGGAGTGCCCACTCGTTCCGTGGGGTCCGTGGGGCTATGCAGTTTTATTTCCTGCGGTAGAGGCATCCTGCTCCATGGATTTGGGGATGTGGCGATATGTGTCGCCTGGACAATGGGCTGCGCGCAAGAACAGCAACCTTTATGATTCTGGTTTGTTGAATTCGGCCCGGCTGAATCTATTAACAGCCATGGTGATATTTAATGAGCTTCGCTGGGTTGATGCAATGGAAAAGCGACCAAACACCTTAGTTTCTATGACGAATTTCCACGGGATGTTTCTTCAAAACCTGTTCTGGTGCCTCATCTTCTTCGTATACCTTCATCTTTTTCGTTTCTCAGTATCTGATAGTCATGCAAATTTTCCTTATTGCTCAGAAAATCGATCAGTACTTAACATGATTCAGAAATCAGACGAAAGAAGTTCTACTTTTGAAGGGTGATGTGCTTAGGGAATGATCCGGAATGATCCACAATCACCAAAAAAACGTCATCCTACAATGTGGGGCCCCCGTTGGATAGCTAAGTTGGTGCAAATAACTCCAATAACTATGGTTTATGGTACTTATAACTATAGTTTTCATGGGGTTTATAAACCAACAAACATCACTGAGGGGCCCCACATTGTATTTCCCCATTCCCTACGCCCTACGCAGCGACACGAGCTTTCCGCTCAGGTGGCCGCTTGACCATCATCGGAGTGGGCGGCACCGATAGCGCCGAGGTGGCGCCTTGGGGAAGTTGACATTAATGGTAACTGGCCAAGGGGAGTTGAGTACTTAGGTGCTGAACATGGAGTATACCCTCTGGTAATTTGTTACATAGCTATGGAAAGATCCACCATTTTTAATGGGAAAACTCACTATTTTTATGGCCATTTTCAATAGCTATGTTAGTTTACCAGAGGGTACCACCCCCAATGGTGGCTACACATTGTGGGAAGGCCATGGATTCCGGCTGGATGTTGTGTCGCCAACATTCTGGAGAGATGTGAGCCCCAGCCAAAACATGATGGTTACGTTGCATGCCTAATTTTGAGGTTTCCTGAACTGGGGATTGGGGATACCCCCCAGTTCTCATCCATTTTCATAGGATATTACACTTATTACACTATAAAATCATATAAAATCCACCAAATCATCATTTTTGGGGGTACCACCATTTATGGAAACACCCAGCTCTTGAGCTGGGTATAGTAGATCATTACCTGCATTTCATGGCGACGCAACACATCAATCGCCACGATTTCCTGGGGCGTGGAGATTTCAGCACATGTGGTGCCTGAGACGAGCAACGCTTGGGACGTTGGTCAATGGAGGCCTTATTATTGACGGAACAGAGGTGTCTAGAGGTAACAGAAATGTGGATTGTGACCACAAAATTCTGGTTTACGTACACTATATATATATATATATGATCCACAAAGGTTGATTCGATATATGTATATATATATATAGATACATGTGATATATATATATATATATGTGATGGCTAACCAAGGAAATTCCGGAACAATCGTGGAACGAAGGAAGCTTAAATAGGCTTTAGTACCTTAAAATTGATGTTGCTGGTGATTTCTGTAGCCTCGGCACGGACATGATTCAGAATATATCCATAGAGAAATACTTGTGTGTACCATGGGGTTTTCACGGCCTGGATTCCTAGATCCGGGGACCTGTTTGACAGCCTCCATATCTTTCATACAGCATCCCAAATGGGGATGGAACAACAACAACAACAACAGCTGCTGCTGCTGCTACCACCACCACCACCACCACCACCACCACCAACACAGTTACTGCCAAAGCCACAGCTACTGCTAATATTTATATTAATGCAATTTGACTTGTCATGGAAGGTTCTCTAATTTTTCAATTTTAAATTAATTTAATCTTAAGTACTTAACCCAGCCTTTCAAATACGGTCATTTTTGCAGGAGATTTCGTTGCACTTTTGTCTATGCACAGCTGCACCAGAAGGATGCTGCTATGGGCGCCATCCGCAATTGCAGCGGGGATGGCAGAGACAGTTTGATGGCCGTTGCGAATTCTCCTTGATGGTCAGGCTTGGGAAGCGGCTGGAGAGTTTCCGGTCAGCTGTTGGAAGCTGCTGCGCTTTCTTTTCCGGAGCCAGTCCACAGGGTTCCACTGCGAATCTCACAGACGAGCGTTGGGCGCCGAGAACCCCGCACACAATCGTTCTTGTTCTGTTCGCAAAAAAAACGCAACCTAAGAACCCTTCAAGGTTCTAACTTTTTGCGCCAACGCCACGGCAGGCCCTGTGCTTGAACGTGGCAAAAATGGAAGTCAGAATTGTGCCACGTGTGCACACGAAGTCGCTCACGCCGCAAACGTGGTTCACATCTGTTTTTTTTTACGTAATGAAATTTGGATCATGTAGTAGCAGCTGGTGAGCTCACCCACATTCGTTCATTTTTAGATCCAGGCCGTCGTAGTTGGTGGCGGACGGGTTCCTTTTAGATCTCCGCATTTGGTGTTTTTTATTCCATCCAAAAAGGGGCGGCGCAAACCCTTTGCATAGCCAAATTTCAGTGGTTCAACATCCATATCTACCAGTTATTTGGTGTTCACCACGGTATTGCATTTGGGTTTGATCCATCGCCCCCCAAAAACGAATAGTTTGATCCGATCCCCATTTCATGCCATGCCAGGCGGCGTATGAAAAGATCCGCGCCGGCGCCAGCTTGGTGGAAGTTTACACCGGTTTGGTGTACAAGGGCCCAGGCCGTGGGCCGGCCCAGGGTGCCCGGAAATGGGGATGGTTTATCGAATTTATTTCCACCAAATTGAGACATTGCCAGGAACTGGAGTCAATCCACCAGATTTCCCATTGAATTCCATTAAAACCCACGCGTTCCATTAGATTTTGTATCCCAATGATATCCCTATTTATAGGCCCTGTTTTGCAAGCGCATTTCTTTGTTTTGCTTCCGACGTCGCGCTGGTGCAGGTTTGCTGGAAGACCTTCAGACAGGCCGAAAAAGACAGAGGGCCCGAACACGGTGGCACCCCGGTACCTTAATATCCCAGTAAAGAAATACATGCATGTCTACATTGTGCATATGTATGTATATAAATGTATATATATGTATGTATATGTGTATGTTCAGTCTATGCCTACGTCTATCCGTATATGTCTATTTGTGTTTATGTGCATATGTGCATATGTGTATATGTGGATATGAGTCTATGTTTATGTGTATATATGTATACAGTATATGTGTATTTAATATATGTATACATGTGTATGTGCAAAATGTGTATATATGTATATGTGTATTTGTGTATGTGTGTAATATGTGTATATGTGTATATGATATGTGCATGTGTGCATATGTGTGTATGTGTATATGTGTATATGTGCTTATGTATGTATATGTGTCTATGTTTCTCTGTATATGTGTATCTGTATATGTATATTTGTATTTGTATATGCATATGTATAAGTGAAACACAATATTCAAACATAACACTCATACGCAACTGCTTTTGATAGTGACCTCTTATGATGAGGACCGAGTGTGGGGATACTGTAACATGTTCAATGGGTGTGAAACAGTGGAGTAAGCATATCATATGGGTTGCAAACCCAAAACAGTTTGCCAGTGTTGCTTTGGATCTGAACCTTTGCAAGGAAACTGCCGGAAATGCATCCCTATGGGCGTGATCCAGCAGTTTTTATTCATTTTTGTGGGAATTCATTCTTCAAAATCATCCGAATTTCCAGTTACAACTCGAACCCTTCTCGGACGCGCAGGTTCCAACTATCATGTTTTGTTTGGACATTCTGTGTCTTTCTGCTACAACCTAAGGTTGTTCAAAGAACCAATCCACGCTAGAGAAATACCCTTTCACACTTTTGCAAGTTCTATCCAATTTTTATGAATGTTTTCAAAGATATTCTAGAACAGAACAAACAAATCATCATTTTTGGGGGATCCATTCTATCCCAATGACATCACCCAACACATCGTGGATCTATTTATTACCTGAACGATTACCATTCCCAGGAAAATGACAATGGTAACAAAAACCAAATAACTTAAACATGACAAAACATGTCCTAACCATGGGATTCTGCGGTACACTATTTTTGGACACGCCATCGTATACGACCAAGTTTGAGGGTCTATTATTGATCTATTGTTGATACTCCATTCTTGACTGCCGTTTTCAAGTTGGTCATTCAAATGACTCAAATGTGTTTTGTTTCCCATCCTACTCCGAATGATTAAGATTATACCAGAATTATCAAACCCATAGTTCCCGAATTCGGGGGTACCATGTATAAAGGGACATATCACTGTTTTGGGAGATGCCGACATTAATAAACAGAGGGTTATCAATCCGGGGTTGACACGATCCAGACTAATTTTCATATTCGGAGACGAGTCGATGGTTGATTCTTGGCACTTATCCTGATACTCCTGATGCTTGAACGGAACTGATGTATGATCTACCCCCTTGTTTGCCTTGTTTGTATGATCCAGAAACAATCTTGGTCATGATATATCCTTGTCATTGAACGGTCATGTTAATGATGCATATTTTCGAACACTGGCCCAAGACCTTCGTTCAAATTGTGGACTGATAGACTGTGTAGATGATGGATCAAATAGTCTCTTCCAATAGATTAGCCTGTTTACCATTATAAAAGTTATAAACATGACATTAAGTTATTCATGCAATCAACTATTAGTGTAAGTGTTTTGGGGTTCTCTCAAATTAGAGCAACCCAAAAAATCGGGTGTTTCATCATCTTTTCGCTTTCACTTTTTCATTTTTTCGGGGTATACCCAATTTTGGGACGAACCCATAGCACGTTGCTGGTTATATGTCCCACTTTGTCCCCATCAATGCTTGGTTGTATAACTCTATGACTCTCTGTGTGTTGGTGTACTATAAATTCTTCCCTCATAAAATACCTCAAGTTGGTTTATAACTCCAATAACTATGGTTTATGGTACTTATAACTATAGTTTTCATGGGGTTTATAAACCAACAAACATCACTGGGGGGCCCCACATTGTACCACCCCCAAACTAAGATAGACCCTGAAAACCCTGGCAGGGTCGTCGTGTCAGTTGGAGGGAGCGTTAACCAGTTGGTTTTCCCAAATCGTTCTCTATTTTCGCTGGTTATCGCCCAGTTATATCAACCCAAATTCAACTCAGAAAAAGATCGCATTGTATCATATTGTATCTAGCTACCCAAAAAGATTTAAAAAAAGCCAAAGAGGACTTTCCCAACTTTCGCATCTTTTTGGGGGTGGAAAACTCCACCACCACGTCACCAGGGCTTCAGCGTTTGTTGGAACGGGATGGATTTGACTCGCTGCAGCAGGTTGGGATTCGCAGGGGCCAAATCCCAAATCGACGGAATCTGGGTATTTTTGGGATTCAAAGATCTCTATATTGGATTTCCATGGATTTCCTGATCATGTTTTTTTTTTGGCAGATTTTCCACTATGATAGGTTGCTTTTTTTCCTTGGGGTGACATCAAAGTATCAACCATGGAGGATGATGGGATGAACCCATCGTGGATTAAACGTGCTGAGATGACTCGAGAAGCAATGGAAGATTTGATCAACAATTAATGGGGAACACATTTGGACAGCCCAAGGAAAATGGTCAAAGGATGTCAAAGGTGGGTTTTCCATGTCTTTTTGTTGATTTACTGGAGGGTATGTCAGGAGGATATGTTGGCAATAAAGATAGGGATTATAGGCAATTGTAGAGCTTCGCACACGGGCGATGCCATAAGGGTTATATATAGTAGTGTGAGCGTTGGTGTTGTTCATGTGCTCGGCGCGTGCGCGCAGGCGCAGGGCACAGGATGATGTGCTTTTCATACCGCAGCTTGTAACACATCTTTTTGTCGCAGTTTTGTGCTGCTTGTTGTTGTCGTTGTCGTTGTCGTTGTCGTTGTTGTTGTTGTGGTGGTGGTGGTCGTCGTTGTCCTCCTTCTTCTTCTTCTTCTTCTTCTTCTTCTTGCAACACATCTTATTGTCGGAGCAAAAACACCGTAAATACCGAGTTTTTTTGCGCCTCGGATTTGCAAGAATATGTGTGGGGCGAGCTGCCAGAACCGTTGGCAAATCTGAGCAGAGCGGAGGATTTCGCGCGGAAAGTGTTGCCCAAATGGGACACGTGGCTGGGCAAGAATCTGCTGGGAAAGAAGCTTTTGTAGGGTTAGGGGTTGGGGATAGAGGGAAAATGGCATCTTGTCCGGCGATTATGGAAAGCAAGTTTGTGAGGTTTGCATGGGGCTCCGGTGCCCTTTCTGAACCTACAGTAAAATAGCTGTCTTTTTGCTCTTACCGCCGCTTTCTCCTGCCTTCTTGCTCTTGCTCCCAGCCATTCTTGCTCTTGCTGCCCGGTGCTGGCCAACCAGTCCAAGTTCAGCCGCCAAGCCTCGAAACGTCCAGCTGCCAAGGCTCGAAAAGAGCGCTTTCGCCACACTCAAACAGCATGGCAGTGAAGGATGAAACGGGCCTCTGGGCAACAGCCTGTAACGCCGAACGTTGCTTTCTGCACCTACAAGAAACTAGTAGCAGTCTTTTTGCTCTTGCCGCCGCTTTCTCCTTCTTGCTCTTGCTCCCAGCCATTCTTGCTCTTGCTGCCCGGTGCAGGCCAACCAGTCCAAGTTCAACCGTCAAGCCTCGAAACGTCCAGCTGCCACTGCTCGAAAAGAGCGCCTTCGCCACACTCAAACAGCATGGCAGTGAAAGACGAAGCGGGCCTCCTGGCAACGGCCTGTAGTGCCTAACGTTGCTGTCTGAACCGACAAGAAACTAGCTCCAAATTGCAGCCTTCAAGCCTCCAAACAAATGGCTTGCAGTTCCAAATCACCGAAGCACCATGCAACGAAAGCACGGACGAGGCCTTCGGCCTTCGGCTGCTTCTGCCAAACGTTGCTGTTTCTGTGCTTCCTGCTTGCTTCTGTTCTTCTCCTTGCTGCTCCGTCAGTAGGCTTCTCGCAACTTGCTGCTTGCACTGTCTCCTCTAATTAACGCGCTCCCCCTACTGTCGGCAGGGGTCGGCGGATTAAAGGGACTTAATCATGACCTAATGATTTCTGTACGCGATGAAAATTGTGGATTTGAGTAGAAAAGATAAGAATTCAACCGATGATCTATGTGGCTGACTTTAGCAAGGGACGAGATTAAGGACTGACAAACAATGAACATCAACCATACCCTCTGGTAAAAGAACATAGCTATGGAACATCACCATTTTATTCGTAATAGGTAAAACATCTATTAAGGGGCCAATTTCCAAAGCTATGTAAAAGTACCAGACAGTATGGTTCAAGCAACAAATTGAGCAATCACGAAGATCTTGTAGTAGCGGTGCAGGATTCAGATCCATTTATTGGATTTCCAATCTGGCTCCATGCTCGCAGGCAA